TTTGGTGTGACGGGATTCGAACCCGCAGATTGCGAGTCGAGTACCCTAACCACCTGGCCATGCCGGGCCTCAGATAGGAGATTCAGAATTTCCAAGACGAGGATATCCCTTGTACTTAATGGCATTAGAAAACACAGGAATGTGCATCAATTTAAGGAACATGTGAATGATAAGATCATTCCAAGCGAAGCGTGAGGAATATTAAAATCTAAATGGAGAAATACCTTACCTTTCGGTCAGTTGTAAAATAACAATCTCAAGTCGCATTATTTTTGTTTCTCCGGATTAATATAAAGATTGTGAACAGTGTCACAAACTATTATTTTCAATGAAAATAATGTTATACATACAGATTTGGAATTGTGTCTTTTTTTAAAAGAAATCACATCTGTAATTGATAAGTTGGAATTAAAAAACACACGCACACATATTCTTGGAGAGGACCGGTTAAACCTGATAAGGACCGGTTAAAATTCCTGGAGGACGAGTAAGAATTTCTTGAAGGACTGGTTAGAAATTTTGCGAATTTCGAACCCTGATGTATATATATATTGAACTTTTAGCACCAAAGAACTTGATTCATGGAATATTTTATGCGTCACCAAAGCTACTCGGCAATACGTGTTAAAATAATCTAGAAATTAAAGCTGATATACGTCATGTCTTATGAGAGAGATAACGCAAACTTCCAAGTTACTCAGTAAAGAACACTATGTACGAAAGTTGTAGTTACAAGAATTATCATGTAACATATAACGTGCAAAATATTTCACGTGAGTGTTAGCCAATAAATAATCTACCTTTTTTTTTTCCTTTATCAAATATAATATTTACTTCTCTTCACTTGATGTTGATTGCGCACATGAACCCTATACAGAAGTCCCCCGGTGGGGCAGCGGTAAGTTAACGGATTTACAATGATAAATCCGGGGTTCAATTCCCCGCTGCAGACACAGCAGATATCCAAATATGGTTTTGCTGTAAAACAAACAATCTACCCTATAAAGACAACTTAACGTGAGGCAAAAACAGATACATCAGTTTCACTTTTTGTTTCTAATAAGCGTTGAAGTCGTCAGTCCGGATCAAACCTAGGTTGCCAGCCAATATGAAATCTTCCTTGCAACAAATGCACCGTTGGTATAGTGCTTTTGTTAGTAACTGGGGACGAAGGATGTCAGAGTGCTCATCAACTCCCCTCCCCTCATTGCTATTTTTCCATATGAACAAATGAAATAATCCCGCCAATTACCCATATGTGTGTAAAAACATTCTATACAGATAGTAGGTTTTAAAGTTTGCACATTGTCATGCAATTCTTCCGAACTTCAATAAACTTTTAGATGACTATCTTTAAACATTAAGTTAGGTTTTCTAGCATCCCCTGAGGCACGCGCAGATCGTTTACTCAAATGTTTCTCTACTGTTTCTTTTCGGTGGCAACAAGTTTACTTACCATGAAATGATTTTTACCTCCTGTAAGAGGAACTGGCTGTTACAAGAAACGCTCCATTAGTATTTTTTTCTTATTAGTTTATAAAGCCTTTACCCTATCTAAATATAATCAATAAGGCCTGCCTTAAGTTTAACAGACAATATAATAAATATGTAGTGCATGATTTGAGTGGCAGATTAACAAAGACACTTCTTAAAATAGGGGCTATGACAGCGACTACCACTATGTTCTTTTTCTTTGATTCATATGCCTTTATAAGGTGAGGATTAGATAAATATAAAAGTAGTAACTCCGTCCTTGATACGTAAAAAGGTAGCTTATAGTCAAAACTTTCTTTCAATGTCAATAGCCTCCCATGGCTCAGACGTAATCTTGAAGGCCTATTAAGCTAAAATTCGAGGTTAGAAGTCTGCGTTAGGAACAGCAGATTGTGACATTGTGCAGCTTTACGATTAACAAAACACTCACAGAGCCAATAAATCAAGTGAGAAGTGCTGCCATCTATGGGCGTTATAGACTAGTTAGTAAAATATGCATAATACCAAACCATTCACTTTTTTTGTAAAATAACAAGTTTTTGCTTCTCCGATTGTTGAGATACGAACAAGAAAATTATATTAAAGAAAACTTTCACTGGCAAAGTATTTTTGTTCTAGTGATTATACAAATACCTCCACAAAACAGCGTTTAAACATCCCCAGTAAGTCATGTTTTCATGATATTGTGCTATTATTTGTTCGTAATAATTGTGGTCCAAGGAAATTGCACAGATTTTTCTCTTGGTATATAAATGATTTATGCCAGTATTTTAAAAAAAAAGCAAAATCATTGTCAAGAACAGACAAAAAAATAGCACACAAACGTGGTGTCTGTTGCACCATACTTTTAAAAGCATCACTTTAGGGGTCTAACCAGTAAAACAAAGCTAGCATTTTGGAATATCACTGATGAGAAGAAATTATTTAACGCCATTTTTTAACTCTTCAAAACATATAAATAATCTTGAATAATACAGCCAGAGATAATATAGAATAATTTGAGAAACTACGGTATTATGCATCTTGTTTGTGAGTACGTACAAAGGAAAAGATTTTTAAATACACATAAACAGAAAAAGTATTTTTTTTTTTAATTTCGCGCAAAGCTACACGAGAGCTATCTGCGCTAGCCGTCCCTAATTTAGCAGTGTAAGACTAGAGGGAAGGCAGCTGGTCACCACCACCCACCGCCAACTCTTGGGCTACTCTTTTACCAACGAATAGTGGGATTGATCGTCACATTATACCGCCCCACGGCTGAAAGGGAGAGAATGTTTGGTAGGACGGGAATTCGAACCCGCGACCCTCAAATTGCGAGTCGAGCGTCCATACATCATTTAGTGATAATAAAACATTTATGAACAACCGAGTCTGAAAGTTTTACAAGTGCCCTACATGAACATTTAAACATTAAGCTATGCGTGGTCACTGCTAAAATCCGTTAAGAAATATTTAATGTGTACTTTGGATTAGCTTTAATATTTATATATTTAGTTTCAATGATCCACTCGGAGATGCGATAATTGTTTATGAACTTTCTGAGCTTAGCAAAGATCTTTGCGAATCGCTAAATTTGATGATCTTCCCACTTCTCCCATTTTTTAATTGTAAGTCAATCTTGTAAAATTCATTTAATACTGAAATATTACGTGTTACAGAACAAGTTAGTATCATAAGATCCATACATTACTATATAACAAAAAAAAAAAATTTTTTTCTTCATATAATAATAATAGGCCTACAAAGTTAGCATGTGGTCAGAAGATACAAATATTATTCTTGCCATTTATAAATTAAGAGAGATAAAGCGTTAACTATACAGTTATTTTTATTTCTCAATTAAATCAAACCTCTTTCGATGACAAGAAACCCACTTGTGCTTGAATGGGTAATGAGGAAAAAAACTTTAATACAAGTTTAACATATCAGCAAATGTACAACGTTTCGACAAGGTACTTAATGATAACAAAACCTTGTACATTCGATGTTAAACTTATATTAAAAGTTTTTCATCGTTACCCATTCAAGCCGTCTCCAAGCATTATAAATAAAGCATCTGAGTGAATAAAACAGCAGTGTACCAGAGGCATCGGTGGTGGGGATAAAATGTACCAGAGGCCTTTGGGCTATTAAAATGTACCAGAGGCCTTTGGGCTATTAAAATGTAGCAGTGTACCCGAGGCATCAGGGTTAATAAAATGTAGCAATGTACCCGGGACATCAGGATTAATAAAATGTAGCAATGTACCCGGGACATCAGGATTAATAAAATGTAGCAGTGTACCCGGGGCATCAGGGTTAATAAAATGTAGAAGTGTACCCGGGGCATCAGGGTTAATAAAATGTAGCAATGTACCCGGGGCATCAGGGTTAATAAAATGTAGCAATGTACCCGGGGCAGTCAGGGTTAATAAAATGTAGCAATGTATCCGGGGCATCAGGGGGAATAAAATGTAGCAATGTACCCGGGGCATCAGGGTTAATAAAATGTAGCAATGTACCAAAGGCATTTGAGTTATTAAAAAATAGTGATGTACCAATTCATAACCTAAGAAAGGTAAAGCATACAACATACACTTTTGTATTTATTTCTTAATTGGATCAGGCCTCTCAGTGAATACAATGTAGCAATGTTCCATAATCATTTCAATTGAAATGTAGTAGCATACCAGAGATTTTTGAATTAATAAAATAATGTAGCAGAAGTCTTTGGATTTAAAAAGTGTAGCAGAGGACTCAATAATAGTAAAAGGTTAATTTGTGGGCCATAGTTGATATAAAAGTATTCAACAGTTAAATCTCTGTCATTTTTTTCAATCAAATCTTGGACTTGTCTAACTTAAGACAAAGTACGATGTAATACCTGTCAAACTCGAAGGTTTTTTTATTTGTTTTTTAACAATATGATTGTTCTGTAGAGTAGAGAAACCAGTTTCTCACTAATGTAATGAATTAAGTAAGCAACCTGGTGTTTTAAAGGGGCCTTTTTTATTCAGTATTGTTCAAACTAAAAAAAAAAGATTAAACAGATATGCTTTTTTGGAATTTTTTTCAAATGATGAAGTTATTTATACATGGTTCTCAAGCTTATTTTCAAATTACAGAAAACAGCATACAATCAGGTAACCAAATACCTAATTCTTTCATCCATCCCGGTTAAGTCGAGAATTATCACACCAAAAGACTGGGAAAATTTACTACACAAGAGTCCACCAATAATATAACAACAGCACTATAATGAGATTACTATGATAAAATAAATCCTACAGTATAATAATACAATATTAAATCTGCAATATTTGCCGACTTCAAAATTATAAACATATCAAAAATTACTAAATTAAAATGTCAAGCTACTTACAAAAGAAACAGATTAGTGTACAAAAAATATATATCCTTACAATTAGAATTAATACTTAATCTCTAAATTCTACTCAAAAATACGATGAAACGAGTACAAAATACTCTGAGAACAACATCAGGGAAAACTTAAGTAAACAATGAAGACAGGATCATTTTCCATTCACATTCTCAAAATAAAATATACAACAAATTAACATTCCATTCAGAGTTACATTCATAGGTTTAGTTAAATCAACCCATGCTCAGTAGCCACAGAAGTGATCAACAATAGTATGTTTAGCCCCATCAAAACAGTCAATAGAGTATTTAGTTAAGCACTTCAGAAAACATGGAAATAACAGATGAAAACAACAATTAAAAAATTGTTGAAATAACCTTGAAAATGGCAAACAGTACATATATATATATATATATTTTTCCTTCTTTTTAGACAGAATTTTAAATTATTACTTCTTGAGTGTCTTTATGGCTTTCTCTTGTTATACCTCTAAATGACCATTCCCTTTGACCTCCCTCCACATGATGTAATAAACAAGTTGTTAGCTGCTACTTCTATTCAGTTCTGATATTATCCACAGATATGTTTGAAAGAGCACACCTACAAAGTTTTCACTGGAATATGTGGTGAAATATCATTAGCAGAACCAGTCATGTTGGGGCAGTTTCCTGGAACTGGCTAACACACAATCATTCAAAATATTTAAGCTTCCTAAATGAGTGGGACAAGACCAGTATAAGCAAAAAAAAATAAAAAAGAATTTAAATTTCAATCAGCCTTCAAACATTAGTTAAGAACGCATGACAATCATAAAAGTTCAAAATCACAGTCACATAGTGCCAATGTTTGATCTGGAAACAAAGGAAAGATTCAAAAACAAAAGAAGAAGAAGGTAGAGTAGATCATCACCCTTTCCACTTCCTTTGTGTGTGATGTATAGGTTTGAAGCAGAACTTGCTTTGCTGTTATTAAGCACACACAGATTCGGTAGGTGTCACATACAACAGACTTTCCACAAACATGGCTGCAGATAGGGTTGTAAAATCATTACTTGTGTTTCAGACTCGAACTGAAAAAAAATAACATTTACAGCAGAGTTATTTCTAAGAACAGAGGCAAAACCATATTACATAAACATAAAAAAAAGAAGGAAAAACACTGATATTTCTTATTCGTAGGTAACTCTCATATCTATTGGAAATAGATAATTTATATTTGTCACAGCTACTACGTAAAAAATAATTCCTTCCAGATATTTTCTGTTCCATAAAAACAGTCAAAAACCTAAGGAACTTTCAATGTTTTCTTTCAATTAGATTATTAGGCTTATCAGGGGAAGGTAAGCTTTTCATTTAAATAAAAGTGCAATTTATAAAACTTGGGACAAGGTACATATCTCTGTTTTGTCTTTATATTTCATCTTTTACCACCATTCCTTTTCAATGCTGTACTTTTTTCTCATTGAATATTTAATTATATACATGGGTTCTCATTACTATGACCTTTGGCCTCATAGAAAAGTATCAAGCCCTCTATAATTTCTTCAAATTAGTTTTATCAGGCAAACTTCTACAATTATTTTAAGAACTGCTTGTTTGTCAACACCAAGGTTTATCTAGCTTATCTGATGTATAAGCATATGACACGACTGGTAAGAACTGTATCAAATGACCCAATTTTCTTCATGAACTATTTCTCCCAGACAAATCTGTTTTTAAGGATCACAAGCATAACACAATGGAATTTCAATGCAGAATGTTCAAACAACATATAGGATAGGACACGTTCATATATATATAAAAGGCCAAAATTTGGAAAATGAAATTCAGGTGGAAAAATGTCTTTTGGCATAAGGTTTGTTTTGGTACTATTTACAAAAACTTTCATGACGTGGCATTCTGGACCTTTAAACCACTTTGTCCTTCATATCTTTGTTTTATCTTCTGAACAAACCTTCAAGAAAAATTCTCTTACCATTTACAGAATAGTACACTTTCTTTTTCTAATTTTATCCCTGTGCTTCTTCTTATCTTTTCCTTTTCGCTCTCTCTGAAAAATAGATTTGAATTTGATGTTTCAAATGAAATAATAATCAATTTCCTGCAGAAGTAAAAATACATCATGTTTAAACACCTTACAATAAAAACAACAAAGAATGGTGTAAAATTAATTCTCTTAACCAACTATTATTTTTTTTAAACATTTTCACTGTTGTAAAAAATAAGATAAATATATTATTATCAACTATACATTTGGATTAATTGCTTTTACATTAAGTACGTACACCAAGTTTCATTGTAACAAAAAGAAACTCTCTAGTTAACAGTTTTATAGTGTTGCCATAATTTACACAGATATAAACTATTTCTATTTTAAGTGTGTAATAAACTAGTATATACTGGTTTGGAGAAAGAAATTAATATTTTCATTAATACCTGTTTTACATGAAATTACATGCCCTAAGAAAATGTTCTAAAATAAACTGATATTTTCATAAGCCAAAAATACAAGTTTAAAGAGATCAGAAATGAGGAAAACAAAGACAAATATTTCATTTATTACAATCATGGTTTCACCAGTAAACGCATCAACATCATGGTCATAACAAATATTTGTGAAACATACAATTGTCCTTGTCTTCCTCAATTCTGTAATTATCGAGTTTTGTCAAGTACCAACGATTTCAAGTATCAATTATTCAAGAGCTCATTCATATCTCTTGGAATAAAACTGTTTTTGAACAATTAATAATTTATGCCTAAATTTTTAATTTCTTTTGTAAGTGTACATGTTTTACAGATAAAAAAAAAAACCCATTCTACTAAACCGGTATATCTAATTTTTCCAGTGGACAGAAAAAGGGAGATTAAGTAAGATAGGTAGTTTTATTTTAAAAGTAATGGTAAAAGCAATAGCAGCCCCCGAGTCATAGAAAACGTGACAACATATTCTTTAAGATTAGATTCCTAGCTGAAAAAAGTTATATGAGATTTGTAAGGTATCTTAGAGCATCTGGGTGGGAGTTAAAACATAACCTTAGTAAGTATGATCAAGACTTCCCAACATGAAACATTTTCAATAACATCCAACAATGAATAAAATTCTAACAGTTGTGGAATGTGGGCTTACAAACAGGAAAGAGGCCATGCAAGGTTTTACCAGTTTACTCAAACATCTACTGGATAAAATTCTAATAGCTGTGGATTTTAGGCTTAAAAACAGGAAAGAGGCCATGCAAGGTTTTACCAGTTTACTCAAACACCTACTGGATAAAATTCTAATAGTTGTGGAATTTAGGCTTAAAAACAGGAAAGAGGCCATGCAAGGTTTTACCAGTTCACTCAAACATCTACTGGATAAAATTCTAATAGTTGTGGAATATAGGCTTAAAAACAGGAAGGAGGTCATGCAAGGTTTTATCAGTTCAATTAAACTTTCAACAATGGATAAAATTCTAATAGTTGTGGAATGTGGGCTTACAAACAGGAAAGAGGCCATGCAAAGTTTTATCAGTTCAGTCATAAGAATTTGCACTTAAGTCTGTCTCTTATTTGTCAAAAACAAAAAAGTTGATTTTAACATTACGGGATCACATATGGAAATCAAAGAGAGGAAGGTATCCCATGGAAAAATGAAGGCCTTTTAGTCTGTATTCTGTATTTCTTATCTCAAAGTGAATAAAACCAATAAGAAATTTCTACAGATTAATCATGTAAGACTCCTAGTCAATTAACAGAAGCATAACCTAACTAAAAAAGCATAAATGAAAATAGAGATACAAGTCAACAAGAAAAACACATGATGTTTTGTAAACCATAAAACTTATACAGTAATCTCAATCACTTCTGAACATTAAACTCAGAAACAAACAAACAAACTCCCATAATTTCAAAAGTGAATGTTGAGCTTTGTCTGCATATGCAGCTTTTCAAAAACAGCACAGGTAGCGACCACCATAAACAGGAGGCAGACATCATAGTTTGTTTGTCTGCATATGTAGCTTTTCAAAAACAGCACAGGTAGCGACCACCATAAACAGGAGGCAGACATCAGTTTGTTTGTCTGCATATGCAGCTTTTCAAAAACAGCACAGGTAGCGACCACCATAAACAGGAGGCAGACATCATAGTTTGTTTGTCTGCATATGCAGCTTTTCAAAAACAGCACAGGTAGCGACCACCATAAACAGTAGGCAGACATCATAGTTTGCAACATACACACACACACACACATATACACATACAAGATGTAAAGATTGCAGTGGCAAAGTACAAGAAGTTATAATAATTAGGTAAGAAAAAAATCTTAAAAACTAAAATAAACATTTGCATCTAAGGTCCAAACTCTTTCAAATTATCCAAAAATCTAACATAGGAAATAGAAATGCAACACAAAGATAAATGTTCAAACAAGAATGAGCCAGATAAAAAATAAAATAAAAACAGATGCTAGGATCTGATTACAGGAGTGTCACAAGATACAGTAGTTATGAAAATAACTGTTACTTCTTTGAAAGCAATAATTTTTTTATATGACATTACTCAGCTACACTTGCATTATTCTGCTACCACTACTTCAAACTTAAAAGAAAACAACAACAAAGGGTAAGTCTTCATAATTAAACAATCTAACTTATGAACTATCAATTTTTGTTTTAACATTAATATTTAATAACTTATTTCAGACTTAAGCATTTAATGTTTTAATAATAAAAGTTATTTGTTGTCATTGAACAACATTATAACAAAGTGCAAGTTACAGGGTTATGATATGAACACTGAACAAAAAGCTCCCCCCCCCCAACTCCCTTACATAGCCAAGAAATGTGTGGTTAATTCCACTACTTACATCTTTACGTATTTCTCGTACCAAGGTGTAGAAGGCATCATCCACTCCCATTCTTGTTTTAGCAGAGGTTTCTATAAATGGGATTCCATAATTTTTTGCTACTTCTGCTGCCTGTTTCATGTCAACTGCCCTGGTTGGGAGGTCACATTTATTTCCTACCACTGAAAGGAACGACAAAAATATCTATTAATACTCAAAGAGTACCTGTACTGTATGACTTAAACTCCTCAATACAAATTTCAAAAAGCATCTAGGTACAGTATATGCAAAGGTTTCAGTTATGTTATTCTTTAGTGCCAATTTTTTTGTTGAATTGTTTTTTTTCTTACTTTACATAACAGTTCTTCATGAAAAAGAGATAATAATAAATTATTCCAAGAATGAAAATAATGAAGCTCAGAAACTCCAAGTAAGCATATAAAAATATAAAGTAAGATTTAATACCTGTATTTTGAACATAACTTATTTTGTAGTTAATAAAAAATATTCAAACTCTCCCCTCAAAATAAACAAGCAAGTTCATTGAAATATATTCTATATACCTCTTAATATTAAATTTACAAAAGACAGTAAAAAACAAAAATAATCATGCAGAATGTTACAAGTTATGTGTTTATATAATGCAAGTAGTTATTACCTATGATGTCCAATAATATACAGTCAGCTCATTATAATAAATTTGCATGTATTTTTTTTTTTGTCTTTTGCTATTAATTTTCAACAAAATTATTTCATGCTATTTAGCAGTCTTTAAAATCCATGAATGTTTATTTCAACTGGAGTCAGTGGCATTCCAGTAGAGGAACCCCAATCAAATTGGCCATTCATTAAAATTTGGCAACCAATAAGTCATTTTGGTAAAATTATAACCTTCAGGTTTTTAAAACACGTGAGAAATGAGAATCACATTAACGTCCTGAATCGTGCAACATTTGCTTTACCGAATGATAACAAGAAATTTTGAATTGGATTGTTATTTATCATTTAAATTGTTTTCATTAACCCACAACTCATATTTATTTGCAGTTGAGGATTTTGAAAATCTAACTACCATTGAGAAGAAAGCTTTAACTTTTTACAAACTTGGCACTCCCTTGTTATTTACAGTTTTGAATTTTTTTGTAATTTAGCCTCCTACACTGATTATATCAAATGACTTTTCAGTACTATTGGTTTTTGAAAATTCAACAATAATCAAGAGAGAAACTTTAAATCTCACCTATTCCTGTGGAGTTTGGTTCAACAAATCAAATGCAAAAATCATTTGGAAAGTAAAAAAAAAAAAAATACTTTCCCAACATTTTGAGATGTGGGTACATTATTCAGTCTGACAAGAGTATCCCAAGAGCTGGTGGCGAATGGTGTTGATTAGCCACCCATTTCCTCTTGTGTGTCACTTAAAAATTAGAGACAGCTAGATCAGATAGCCTTCGTGTAGTTTTGTACAAAATTAAACAAATAAACAAAGCTTATGGTGTTGAATTCCATGTTCATTAGCCTTTCCCAACTTAAAAATTGTTTATTCTCTATTCATTTTCAAACAAGATTTAAATGAATTAAAATATAGTCTCATAAATTTTGTTGTCACTACAACTAAAATGAGCATTCAATAATATGAAAAAAGTGACAACAAGATTTCAAATCAAGTACGACACACAGGACTACTTGTTAATTACGGCTTGCAAACAAGGCATCACAATCATTATCCACTCAAGTGATATTTTAAATAGATGGGTGCAAGCTAAGAAGAGATCTATAGATGACTGTACCATATTGTTTCACTTGTCAATAAAACATAGGTTTAAAGATTTATTCACAAATATTTAATAAGGTAAGAAAAAAAAAACAGTTGCAAGCATAATGCAGCAAAGGTTCAGATTTGCGAGTCCTGGATATCTATTTTGTTTTCCATATAACAATTTGTTTATGTACAAGTTTAGAATTATAATTTTCAGCATCTTATGTATTGCATGCTGCAATTTTTCTTAGTTTAAGAGCTCGTGAGTTGGGTCTAGACTTCTTTCAATCAGATTTTTTCTTTCATTTTGCAAAATCTTTGATTTAATTTGCTAAAATTGGTTGTTCTCTTTTTGCCAGTTTTGCCTATTAAGAGTGGCCATATGGATAAATAATACAAGGTGACCTTTTTTATATCACAAAGTCTTGCCTCATCAAATGGTAAAAATTTTACTTACACACCATAGGTACATCATCTGCATCTTTCACACGCTTTATCTGCAATAAGAGAAAATAAACTTCATTATCAATAGTCTTAGCAGTGCTTATTCACATAATTTTGACTGTATCGTAAACATGCTGTGATATCAAATACACGTGTAATTTATGATACGACTTTTCCAGCTCATAGCTTATTGTAACACTTGCCAATTTAGCCATTTGTAATAGCTTTCTCATCTCTGGTTAGATAGAAATATCTTAGTTATTATGTTAAGTGATGAAACTATATTAAGTTAGCAGAAAGAAACAGGATATGCAAAAACCATTATTCTACTAAAAAGAAAAAAACAACAACATTAATTGAATCACAACATTTGACAAAAATCTCCTTAAAATGGAAAGAATTCAATTTTTAAACAACTGCATTGTTATGTGAAGAGATAAAGTACCGATTGTTGATTAAAAATAACTAATTAATACTCAAATATAATTAATTACAACTGACAAATATCACAAAATTTCAGAGTTCAAAGTACCTTTATAATTTGAATGATCTTATATTTATAAAAATAGCCTCAGAATCCTTAAACTGATAAACTTTTAAACTATCTCAAAGCAGCGAGAAATATTTTTTGGGAGTTTCTGTTTAGAGGCTGGTGAAAATGGAGTTTGACTACAAAACATTTGGTGTAGGATGCTTTCAAAATTCAGCTTTCAAGCTTAACTTGTTAACAGCAGGTTTAAACAAATATCTGGAATATAATTTAACATAATAACTCTCAGAAAATTACAATAATACCATGTATTAAAAAAGTTTGTTTTTCCATTAAAATATATTTCAAGATCAAAGAATGTCAACCAACTTAAAAATAGTGGTATTGTTATGAAACAAATGTATTAATTTATACTACATGTGGTTCCAAGTGTAAATTTTATTATTCGTGTAAAATCAATAGTAAATATCATTAATTATTTGACAAAGAAAGTACTGGTCTTCTTTTACTTAGGAAATGATGACAGTAAAAAAAAAAAGTACAATCCCTGCAATATACTACATTTTAGAGGATTTGTGGAAAAATCCAAATAAAATTTGTTTGTTCTTTTTTCTATCATTAAAAGTAGAGCCAGTATACACTTACTTAGGACTACTCATTAATACAAGTTCTTAACAATTTCCAAAGCAGTTCAAACCTGTTCCCTATGCTTGTTACATTGTTTTCTGGTGTCATATATTTTGAGGTTTCATTTTGAACAAATATAAATACTTAGAGGAATCACTAATTCTTTCTTCTCATGATGACAAGCTGTTTAATTAGTTACTTCTAATCAGTTATTCGTGGGATTAGGCTTCACTATGAATTTTTTTTCTTATTTTAAAATACCAATAGTAACAACAGATATGTGAAGGATAAAAATCTATGTAGACTGTGTTCATAATAAACAAAACAGGAAATTAAATGGACTTGAAACTGACTGAAAATATATATGTCCGATAAATACAACAGCTGCCACAAAAAAGCAAAAAGAAAAATTAATCTCGGAGCATTTGACCTTCCTGAAGCAAGCAAAGAAATATTTTTAATTAATTAATTTTTTTAAAAGACACAAAAATATTTTGTTTAGACTCGGAATTTAAATTTTCTTTTGTTGTTTATCAGAAACTTCCATTTTATATACATCCAGTCAATTTCCTTATTTCCTTTTCCATCTTTATTTTGCCAATTGAAGTGATCACCATTTCCATATACAAGTTGTAAAAAAAAGCAAAGAATGATAAATATTTATCAATAACTCATGATTTGAACATTCAAAATATTGTCAGGTCAGGTTCATTAAAAACATTTTTTGCTAACGATATTCTTGGTAAAAATCGTTTTATATCTAATAAATATACTTTGTTTTCAATTAATTATAAGCTTGCTTTTATTTGTGTGCATTGATTGAATATGATAAATATTCAATAAAAAAAGATATGAATAACTAGGATATTTTGTACATCAATACTGTACTCTCTAAACCTAATAAGGTTTACTTTATATCTTGTCATACAAGAAAGGTGCCAAAATTTTCAAGTACAATTTAACACAAAAATACTTCCAAAAACAAAAATAATGTCTAAAGAAACTATTAAAAAAAATCCCAAATCTGTGGTTTGTTCCTAAATCTTCTAAACTTTCCACTAGATTCCATTGTCCTCACAACACTTTAATTACCAAATGTATTTAAACTATGCCTATAAATATTTTCAGAGCTGCTCTTCATTAGGAGCTGTTCCCACCTTTTTATGATCTAAGAGCAAGTGAATAGAGAATTGTAATAATAAATTGTTAGAAATAGAAAAAAAACAACAGGAAAACAACATTTGGATAATTCTAATCTAAAGCAAAAACCATGCTTTGGAATAAGCAGAAATATTCTGAAAAAATATTGATTAGTGCATTACATACAAGTAAGACTTGTTTGTGTTGTGTAGAAAATGTAATTTGAACATATTTTTTACAATTTTCTTTGCAAGTAACAGTAAATAAATTTGAGTAACAAATCATTAAAATAATGGTAGAATCATTATTTTACGTACATTTTTAATTATTTTATTCTGATTTGCACTATACACCTGAAAGGTGCTCACTAATCCGGAAGGGATGATTTACGTGTTGAATACGCTTTCAAAGTGGAAGATTTTAAATCATAACAAAGGATAAAAAATTTAACAATAGAATCTCAGATGTCTGAATATCCCATAAAAACATATCTTAATGTTCATTAAATGTTCTGCAACATGCTGCTAATGGTACCTCATATTTAAGAATTGGAACTTTAGCCGAAAAAGTATTCTGAACGGCATACAAGTGAGACCAAAAAAACAATATCACAGATATGTTTAATTTTACAAAATAAAATAATTATAATAGTTGAAGCAAATACTCTTCCAATTGAAGCAACAAAACTTTGTGATGCGAGAAAATGTGAAGTATGTAATGAAGTAATGTGAAGTAAAATTATTGTTGAGTCTACATTTTTAAGAATTTTATTCGCTAAAGAAAATTCAGGTTACATAGTTAGATTTTCTTTTTACAATTTGAGAGAAGAAATATTTCTGATGTTCTACATTTTTTTCTGTTCGTGTTACATTATAATAACTGGGACTACAATTTTTGTTACAAAATCATTTTCATTTATAGATATAATAATTATTTTTCCCCATACTGGCTTCAACAATATCATGCACTACTATTTTGAAATTAAATACTTTTAATATTTTAATGTTTAAGAACGTTTGAGGTAGGCTGAAGAAATAATTATCAAATTATTTTTAGAAAGCTGTTCGTAGATATACAGAAATCATTCATCCTTTTTGTACATGAAAAGTTTGTAAAATTAAAAATGAGAGAATTAAATTTTAGATTTAAAATGTGAAGGTTTAATAAACCTATTTCACTTGGCTTTTCTTTTGGTGATATTTTCATTTGTCAAATAAAACTTGTTTGTCATTGTATAGTTCACAGGATTCCCTTTAACAGTTAGGCTTAAGCTTAGCAAGTTCTTAATAGATATATAACACTTTTATAAACTGTTTTTTGATATTCCATAAACATCTTACACAGTTAGTTCGTATTGATAAATGAGATACATCTATGGTAAATTTATCACGAATGTTAAAAATGTTCAAGATAATTAAGTAAGTAACAAAGGAAAAACCCTTAAAACAAAATTCTAAGCTGTCAATTGCTTCACAATGCTGACAATTATTGTTTAATACATGTACTCAATATCTATTTATCTTGTTTTAATAAAAAACATGCAACATTACTTATAATTAGCACAATATAGTGTTACTAAGTAACAAGTCTATGTCACAAAAAAAAGCAGTTCAATTAACTTACAGATGTATCAAACAGTTGGAAAAATACCTGAAAACTAAAAAAAAAAAACTACATTAACATTAAATTTTTAAGCCTACACTCACTTGTTCACGATACATGCTGATGTCTTCAAATGATTTTGAATTGTTGACTGCAAAAACTAAGAGAAAACCTTCTCCAGTACGCATATACTGATCCCTCATTGCACTGAAATATAAATCAGTTACAAATATTGAATACACTAACTTTTTAAATGTTTTTGAGATTCCAACATGGTCATAGAAATGTGTGTGACAGCTGTCACACGAGTCATTTTTTTCTCCACTGCAAAATGATTAACAGTTGAAATGAACTACAACATATAACAGAAGATACTGCCAAGTACTTTTCATACATAACACTTAGCTATGTACTATAATTGCAATATTTAATTAAGCAATAAGGATTTTAGAGAACCCATTCATTCCTGCAGCAAGTACCCAAATTTAATAACAATGAAACACAAGTGAATGGCAGTTTTATTAAAATCATTATATTGGCAATACTATTGCACAAGACTCAGGAAAACACTACCTATATTCTTCTTGACCAGCTGTGTCCAAAATATCCAAAAGGCAAGTTTCCCCATCTATAACCACTTGTTTTCTATAGGAATCCTCTAAGTTGGGGAAAAAAATATATACATACACACGTTACTTAGATGTATACACACACACACGCACACATCACAAAAGTATTATTATAAGCTGTATTTTCAATACTATAATTTAGTTCTATGTTAGAGGGATCTTATAATCATGATGATCCTGTACTACCTGCAATATTCCTGAATGTGAAGAATTGAGAAGATTTCTGAATTATCTAAAAATAAAGGTACATTACAAATATGTGTAACATGTAATGAATGAAAAGTTAATGAGAATTCAATGAAATATCCTGTGAGTATTTCAGACCAGTGTTAGCAGTTAGTTATCAGAGTTCTTTGATCAATTAATATAAGTAAATTTATATGTGAGTTAGGCATTCTATTAGCCACAAATTATCTTATGAAACATTGTAGTTGAACATAAACATACAATCTGTAGCTAATTCATTATTGTTATGTGGGCTGGATTTGGAAATATTTTTACCAAATACCTTAAAATAATCTGCCCAACAATAGGATATTACAACAGTATAACTTTCAACTGAAAGAATTAATCAACTAGACTGAAAGAAAGATCATAAAGCTTAGAGAAACTGACCTACAACACAAACTGTCATAAACCCTTTCTACACCTAAATATTTGGCTTGCAAAACAACATTTTTACCTTACAATATTGATAATAAGCTAGAATATCATGTTGATACCACTAAATTAGGGTAATCTTATAAAATAAATCTACAAACTGATGAACTTGAAAGGTGAATTATAAATCACATGAAGTTGTTTTCCTTGGAAGGAAGAATAAGGATTTGATTCAAGTAACCCAAAACAACAAGGGGTGGATAATCTTCCTGTAACTAAACAGTTTAATTTCTGGAAGGGTAGAACATGAATTGTTCACTTAACATTAGGAATCAAAGTTACAAGCTATGAAACCTTATTGGAAGACTGAGTTATGGGTGAATTTATGGTCTAAATATAAATGTGGGAGGTATCCCACACTTTGCAAAATTTAAAATTCAAAAACAGCTAAAATGGGATAGAAAAAATATATTATTTAAAAACAACACTTCATCACTTTTAATGTGGTATCATCAGGTCTGATTCATGATCAGTTACGTGCATTTATTTTATAGGTTTTAATACTGATTTGTCATCTTTATCAATTCAACTTCAGCTTTTTATCATCTCCCATCCCATACATAGAGTATTGTTTTACAAAAATCACATTCCATAACATAAATCTTTTACTCTGTAATAATGGTAGAATCTAATAATAACATAACAACTAAATAGTTAATATTTCAGTTTAATTGTTATATCAGGTAAGTACATAATACTAATATATTTTATAATGTATCTGTATAATGCCTCTAACAGCATTCAGTCTTCTTATGACTATCATAAACCTAAATGATTTTTGCAGAGTAAATTTAGTCTTTTTCTACAGAAATCTCACATGTTTTTCTAAACATCACAGATAACTATACAGAACATTAAATTTCTGTCTAAACTTACCTATTGTTGGATCATATTCATCCACAAAACTAAAATGAAAAAACATCAACAGTTTTTAGTGAGATTAGAAAAAAGGCTTTTACCTTAAAATTTAAGTTACAATTCTTCAGATTACTTAAAACAATTTATTTTTCTGCCATTGCTTAAAATGAAAGGTTTAAACCATAACAACATAAAACCATACATCTGGTTTTACTACTTGCTCATATGAATTAAATATTAGGATGTCAAGAAATTGATGTTGCATTTTTGGAACACTTTCATAACCACCCCCAAAAAACATACATCACATATAATACTTAAACG